CACACAGAGTGTCGGTGTTAAAAAACAAAAGGCCTTAAATCAAGACTCGGAATACGGGCCGGAACGGCGGCTATAAAATTATATATGTTTACATCGCAAAAAGTAGAAAACGTATGTCCGCGAGGCGACACGTGGACGCGGGGGTGTTAATCATTCGGGCAAATGGGCGTGTTAAACGGTAACGTGCGCTCTCCTTATCCGGGGCATCACAATATTTTTTCGCGTTTTTCGCGCTCGAATAATATTAGAAGCAGCAGAAATTAGAGGCAGCGGAGTTAGGGGAACGGCCGGACAGATAAAAGGATTTACTGCCTTCTGGAGGCAAATTGCCCCGGCCGTAAAATAAGCCCGAAACTGGAAAAAATATGCGAAGAGCGTAGTCGCTGCGAGTCGAGCGCGTGTCACGCGCCGTGCCGTCGAGCACGGGGAAACAACGAACGGACTGGAAAAACGGACACGCATCGACGTTCGATGTGTACCCCTTTTCTCTTTTTCACATGCATATATATATATATTACTCTCTTTTATTTATTTACGGTCGTATCGTAAACCCGCGCGGTGCATGCGGAGAGAGTGATAAGCAGAATTACCTCGACAAGTGATTCTGTTTATTTTAACGACGCCGGGGCTCTCGCTTTAAAACTCGCCGCATGCGAAACAGCGCGCGCGATATGTGCATACGGCTCGCGAATAAAAAATACAACGCCGCTCGCTTTGTTATCTTCCGACAACGGCGAGTACGGGCGACGTGCGTGATCACGTACCGCGGAGATTCAAGATTATGAGACAATTATTAAACAAAGCCCCGTCCGTCCTCGCCTGTCTACGACATCCGCTATCGATTTATGCGGCCGTCACCTTTGGATAAAGCGAGCAAATAAAAAGAATATAGACGGAAAAATTCATTTAGCAAGAGAAATGGAGATTATCACAGCCGGACAAGATTCTACGCTGATAATGGTTTAAAATGTAATCTTATCGAGTTTCGTATAAAGTCAGTTCTGTCATTATCTGTAGCAGAAAATGGATTCAATTAAACAAATGAATTTATTAATCAATTTCCTCTCTTAAACTCGATAGATTAAGCTTTTATAAGAGCGTTCATAAGAAATGTCCGCGTGAAATTGTAGAATCCGTGCGATTCATGAATCACTTGCTATTTTTATACGTTTGCATCGGAAACTGTCAGTTCTACGGGAGAAATGACGAGACACTCGTGACAAGCTAATAAATCTCGTCGGAACATAATTAAGTTTGCCGGACGTTTTATATATTAAATTATGCGCGACGTTGCGCGCGGTACGCGCGATAAAAAATGTAGTATCTTTGATTACTGTTTTACATGGAGATTCACCGAGCGAAGGGGAGCAGGAAACAGCGGGATGAGAGTAGAGCAAAGTGTCGGTGTGCGTGGTATTGTTTTATTTAAACGGAGTCGTACAGAGCAGAGTCCCCGCCGTTCGCCGGGCTTTATTGGAAATTGAGCCAATTATGGTACTTGGGTTAACGATCCATTGTAATACAGTTTCGCGGACGCTATCTACCGATCCCGAACGAAATCCCCGTACGAGACGTCGTAACGCAGATTGCTTTACGCGGCCGCGACATCATCGACGGTTCCGATTGGAAAATGTCCTCGAAGAGACGCATCATCGTCGTCGTCGTCGTCGTCGTCGTCGTGTTCGAGGGAAAGGAAACCGCCACCCGCGAAGAGATGACGATAAGCGAGAAGTCGTGTTCTTTCGGTTTCGACCGGCGAGCCGCGATAGCGTGCGTTAACTCTCGGTCCCACACACTTCGCCATCGGGTTTTGGTTCCAGCGCCGCGATCGCGGTTCAAAGTTCAAACTCGATTTAACTTTGAAATCGGGTCCGCGCTCGCGTTGACCGGTCGATGGCTAAGTGCCGCCGCCGACGCTCTTCCGCAAGTGTCCCGAGAATTCAGGCTCTTTAATTGTCGTGCCACAATATCGGCCGTCCTGACATTTTTACGCGACGTCGCCCACGCGCGCTAATGCGGGGCGAGTTTATGCATTTAACGAGGCGCACGCGGGGGTTAAACGCATGGGTTGCTTCTCTCTCTCTCTCTCTCTCTCTCTCTCTCTCTCTCTCTCTCTCTCTCTCTCTCTCCCTCCTCCGCCATCGTGCGAATAAAATTCCCGCGATTCGCCCCGGTATGAAATACTTTGAATAATTCGTGACGCTTGTTGGCCAGGGGATGCAAATGCGCGTTATTTTTTTTCCGACTATCGTCGTTATTTTAGGCTCGCCGCCACGTGGATTTCGGAGGGATTTCTCCGCGCGAGCGAGTACCCAGGGTACGAGGGTAAAACGAGGGTTAATTAATAAATATTCTATTCGCCGTTGCCGTTTTCGGCAGCGCCCGAAATTAGGAACGCTAGGTGATCCGTAAGGAATAACAGATATCCTGTGACAACAGGGTATATTACGACAATATTAGACACATCTTGTTACAATTGTGTAGTTTACGACGGTGTCTGTCGCTCGAGATAAAATATCACTGTCGCTCTGCCAAAAATTAAACCCGTCCGACTCACTACTTGAAAATACTTATCAAGAGATAGGCAGGGGATATTTTCCCACGCGAATACCCGATATGTAAATTTCGGAATGTATAATGCAGCGAAAACATTTGTACAAATAGCCCAGTCATCCGATAACCGGTCACGCGTATCATCGAAAAGTGTGCGCAGCCGCGATATGTTAATTCTCGCAAACACGATAATAATAATAATAATAGTAATAATAATTTGCAAACCGCGCGCTCCGAATACGCCGGCAGGTCGCTCGCAAATAGTCTAATCTCAGCATGCATATTGCAATAAGACAAATGAGGTGGGGTGCGGTAATTGGCTGGTTATAAATAACACGTGGTCGGCGGCGACATTCTTAGAAGTCTTAATTACACATTTATACGAACGTGACGTGACAATGCGCATTTAGCGGGCGGCCGGCCGGTAAGACGCGCTAAATCGCACGGGTTTATTCCGGCCACGGCCGATGTATAGTTGCGAGCTGAAGGGGGTAATTTCCGAACGATAATCGCTGTTTGAAGCTGTCGATCGTCCCATTACCTCCGCCCCCGTTCGTCGATTTGCAAACGATTAGTTACCCTCCGCAAACTCACCGTTGCATACGCGCCGAAGACGCGGCCGCGAATCGTGTCGAACGTTTTAATTAATTAAGAGACCGTAGGAAAATCTCGCGCGCGCTCCGGCGGTCCGCTAAAAATACGCTCGTCAAAAGAGAATTGGGTTAAAGCGGCCAACTAATTTCAATCTTAGCGTTGAGGGCGAGAGAGAGAGAGAGAGAGCGTGTCGAGAGTTCAGTGAACGGCGAACCTCGGGCTGAAAATGGCCGAGGGGAGATTTTGTAATTTCTTTATTGACAATCGTGGAATTTTGTTTATGGCGATCGATGTGTACGGCGAAGCGTGGTGAAAGGACAAGCTCGTCGTTCCCGAACGACAATGGTTTGTTCGAAGCCGCCGCCGTCGCCGCCGACCGTTCCATTATCTCGACCGATTCGCAAACAGTAGTTATACACTCCACAAACTCACTATTTCATAGATAAAGACGGCGGCCGTGCCTCGCGATCGCGCGATCGCGAATGTTTTAATTAAGTACGAACTTAAAACAAAGTTTCGTCGTGGATACTAAAAATGCGCTCGATACCAGACGGGGAGTTAAATCAGCGAACTAATTTCGAAGCGAAACACCGCGGCTTTGATTGGACGATATAATGCGGGAAAGGAAAAAGTCCGAGGGCGGCGAGGGGAGAGGTTCGGCGATTTTTCTAGCTGACTGTTATTCCAATTTATTCGAGCCGAACGAAAATAATTCGCCAACTCGTCGCTACGTAAATCGAGACGCGACCATTTAAATTCCATTTGATTCTTGGAGATTTCCCGCCGGCCGATAACTTTGACGTAATTCAATTATATCGACTCGCGCCAATTTTTGTTTATCGCGGATCGAAGGGGTCTCCCCGTATTTTCGTACGCGAGTAGATATTGTTATTCCCGGCGCTTTGCATGGATATACATAAATGCATGGCGCTTTGTGTACTAGCTTTTATTCGTCTAGCTTTTATTCTTCTGCTTTTTATTCCTCCATGTCACGTTGCATTTTGCCGCGCGCGGAGCAAGCTAGACGAGCCGTGCACAAGGTATGCATTTGTCAATATATACATGTATATCCGGCCCCTCTTTGTCGCCGATTTAATCGAGCGATTTCAAGATAATTGCGAAATTCGCGTCGAGCACATTAGCGGCTTCGTTAATTTACTAATTCGCTTGTCATTCCGTCGAGTCGACGAAATAGCTCAAATTATTCTTCGCGCGGCACTTTAATTCGCGAATCAATAGCGATTCGTGCTATTCAACTTGGACGGAGCAATGAGAATACGCCTGGCGCGTCAAACGCGCACATGCATGTCAAAAAATGCATTTCGGCACCTCTTACGGACGCTTCGTTCGCGTCGATTCGTTATTGTCGTACGCTAATTTGCTCGACGCTGATTCGCAACGGTAACCAAAACGTCTTCTCGGCGCTACGACTAAAGAACATTTCGTATATTCGCAATGGAATATCGTACAACTCCGTAGAGAGCTCTTTGAATACGCAAGTCTCCAATTTATACAAGTGTATTTCTACGTGTTTCCAAATCTTTACGACTAAAATCCTTCAGCATGCAGCTTATCATTCTTATTAATCGTTATCGGATTTTAAGATGTTTGCACGACCGACTACTATTTTCTTTTCCTCTCTAGCTTCTTTCTCCGCAGACGTTAAGAATCCACTCCGGGACGTTAACAGAACGTCGCTTTATTCGATTGTAAAACTGATGCGCTTATCCGGGGAAAAACGGAGTACGCTCTGGAATATGTGCTTTGCGCGACACAAATCCGTCTCTCTCAATCCGCGTCTCGCTGTGTATAATATATTGTACTTTATCTGAGAAATATGACCGATCGCGTACCTGAATAGATCAGCAGCGACAACAATACGAGGAGCCGGGGCAGTAGGACGGCGAAGGCCGCGCGCAACATCCTCGCTCCCGCGGGTGATCCTGGTTCTCCAAGATCGCCGGGGATGCTCCGCGATGATGATGCGCTCGGCGCGGCGCGGCGCAGCGCAGCGCAACGCGACGCGACGCGACGTGGCAGGCGGAGGAGATCGACCTATCTCCTAACTCCCGCGACCGTCGTCACTGGCGACGAGTAGTCATCGCTCCTCGCCTAAGACGGACAGGAGAAGGGGAAGAATCGAGTCCACAACGTGATCCTGGTAAACACTCGGCCGCGGCGAACACGCGCTTGCTCTCTCTCCCTCTCTTTTTCCTCTCTCGAACGCGCTCCGGAGAGTCGCCGATGAGAAATCGATCTTTCCACGTTGGCCAGTTGTCACCGGACGCAACACGCGCGTGACGCGACGCGACGCGACGCGACGCACGCGGTTTCGCCACTCGCGCGCGCAACGAGAATTGCGTCGGCAGGTAGCGCGGAGTAGGAAAATCCAAAAAGCACCGGGTTAACGACGGGTAGCGGCGGCCTAGGCGACAGGTCTTTCAAGTACTCGCGGCGACACGCGACACATAATTTCCTCCGCGGCCGCCCCTTGACTAATTGAAAATCTATATACGGCCGCGTTACACGGGTTTCCACCTTCCGCGGAAAGCAGTCAGTACTGCGGCATCGGCACCGGAGGAGGACGAGGCGCCGAGGCGCACGCGAGAGGGTTGGTGCGGCGAGCCGTGAGGGACGGGGGAAGGGCACACCGGCGTACGAGGGAGAGGGAGGAGAGACAGAGGAAGAGAGGGAGAAAGAGAGAGGGGGAGGGAGAGAGAGAAGAGAGAGATGCAACGAAGTCAAGGAGGTGGTAGCGACGGCAGTACTGCTGCTGCTGCTGCTACTGCTACTGCTACTGCTACTGGTACCGCTGCTGACTGTGGTGCTGCTGCTGCTGCTGCTGCTGCTGGTGGCGGCGGTGGTGGTGGTGGTGGAGGTGATGGCAGTGGTTCTGGCGGTGGTGGTGGTTGTGCCGAGGAGGGCGGAAGACCACCTGGCAGCGCGGGGCGGAAAGAGCGCGAGGAGGATGGAACGATCGGGTAGAGGTCGAGGGGGTTCGGGGGAGCAGGAAGGGTAGGAGTAGGACGGAGGGCGGGGGAGGGCAGGGTGAGTGAGTTCGAGTTGGTTCCTGGGCGACTGCGCCGTTCTCCAAGTCGATGATCGCTGCAAAATCTTCCGTCTCTCTCTTTCTGGCGCGAGGACCGCCTCTCTCTTTCGGTGCGTTCCGTACGTACGCGTCTCTCACTTGCACGCCCGGCGCGCGCGCGCGCGCGCGCGTGTGTGTGTACGCGGGAAAAGGGTGGGAGCGCGCTCGCGCGTCCGTGCGGGCGCTAACGAAATTGGCGAAATACGCTCCGCTCGGAGGAGCGCGGACGGAGGCTGGCCTGCCGCGTCTATCCCTCTCGCCCAAGTCGTCGTCGTCCTCGTCCTCGTCGTCGTCGTCTCACTTTGGACCGTACCGCACCGCGCGCGCCGCGCTACCACGACGTCGGGGGTCTCGGCTGCGGGAAAAACGGTCGGCGGACGAGAGGATAACGCGGAAGTTAGTTGGCGATCGTCCGGGGCGATCTTCCGTACATCGGGCTTAATCCTGTGGCCCGGTAATAGGATCGACCGGCGATCCCTCTGGGAGTATCCGGCGCGACTCTCGAGATTTTCGAATTTATGGGGGAATTGCGAGCGTACGTACGCTTCTTGGACGCCGCCGTATGGAATATGCTCCTCGCCATAAATCCAAAATTCCGAGTGGCCCGAACGACGTCGCTCCATTGTTGGGCCGGGAGTGTAAGGAGAGGAGTCGTCGTCCCGCGATTGTCCTGCGAGACCGCCCAATGACATTTGCCAGGGAATCCAAGATATATTTTATTTATAAATCAAATCCTACTTCGTTTCCCTGCTGATTGAACCGAAATGAAAAGAAAAAACATCTCCCATATGAATCTCCGGCTCGCACGAATGCCACTTCTTGATACGTACGTACGTACGATTAGATTCTCCGCCACGCACCGCGCTCGAAACAACGTACGTAATATTTTAACGCTCAAGAGGATGCAATTTCAGAGCGCTTAACAAACAGCGATGTCTTATACAGCTATATCCGCGTGCACTTTTTCCCCTCTTTCAATCCTCTCTTCCTGATGTTCGCCACACGCTACGCGCCATCGATGCATCTCGAGATTGCAAGTACAACGATATCGACGTAACGTGCGGCGCTATTGTTTGAGCGAGCGGATGGGATATAATTTCAGATCTAAACTGCGAGTAAAAGAAGCGGCATTACGTTAACGAACGTAATTAATGTATACCGCAGTCTTTGCGACGCGTAGCTACTCGAGATATGTAGCTACACCGCCGGTACTCGGGAAATCTCGGGATGAGTATTATTCCTTATTTGAACCATAAGCTCGGTATCAACTCGCCCGCAGCAGCGTAATGGGCTTCCCCTACGCGTTACGTCGAAAAAGGGCGTAAAAAGAATAAGAGGAAGGGCGTTTCGTGCAGCCACTCGCACTCGGGAAGGAGCACACCGCGTATATAGCGAAAGAATTTCTCTCGCATTTCGAGTTATTGCACTTGACAGGTTTCTCGCCCCTGCACTCACTCCGCCACGTTACCACGGCGAGTGCCGGCGAGCTTGCGGCGAGAAACGGGAAATGGGAGGATAAGGCGAAAGTTAGTTGGTGATCGTCCGTGCATCGAGCTTTAATCCTTTGTCCCGGTAACGGGATCCTGGCGTTAAATCCCTTCGGTCTCGCATCCGCGGAGGATCTTTCGTACTTGTCCAAATAAGGGCGGTAATTTAACACCGCGGAGACGAGCTAGAGCGAGCGGTCATTTCCACCGCTCGACTCCCGCTCGAATCTCGGCTGCCGTAAAATCCCGAATTTCGCCTCTCGATTGACTTCTACATTATTTTACCCTTCCACCTATATGTTCCTCTCTTATTCCACTTTTAACCGTTATACCTTTATATGAATTGCCGATAGTTTTTTACAATTGCAAAGATTGAAACGATGGTTTTGGAACGTCGGCGAATTTCGAGAGAATGCAATTCCGTCCGTTTGCTCTCGATAAATTCTCCCATTACTTTTTCCTTTCCATATTCCAGCCTTGCTGCGCTGTTTCAATTTTTTTTAAGCAACAATAGCTCTCGCGGTTATTTTTTAAGACGGAGGCACCCGAAGCGATCGTTTCGACCGCTGGCGAATTCCAAATAGGTCACTTGATAGACTTTCCTCGGTTGTTTGATAGACTTTTGCGGTTTTTCGACTTTCTATCTAGCCTGCTCTCTTATAGTTCTCTCGCGCTTGTTCAAATAACGCCGGCGGTCTAGTAATACTGGAAGGATCGAAGCGGCGATTTTGTCCGTCGGGGAATTTTAAACGTGAGTAATCCGGCTCTCTACTTGAGAGATTCCTACATTTTTCAGACTGTCCATTGCGCCTTCACGCTCTTTAATCTTGAGCAGTAATGAGGACCGCTATATAAATAGCTCGGTTTGGAAAAAGAAGGTGGCCGCTGCATATAGGTATAAGGACTTTTTAATAGCTTTTCTCCGAGAAGGAGGGCCCCGCGCACGTATGTAGAATCGGCTAATTCATTTTGACGAACGCTCCTGGAACTCTCCCGGAAAAGGGGAAATTCTGTTAACGGTGCAAAAGCATAATATTGGCGCAAACGTATACCGCCAGTGTTAAACGTTGTTCGAGGATCGAATCAGAGTCGCGTCTTCGTCGCGCTCTTCGCATAGTTACACGTTACATAAAGCAGGTGGAAGAGTGTTTCGCATAGTTTCTCGTTGCTACGAGATACGCGCCGTGATATCATAGAATCTCTTTCGCATTTGTGAAGTTATCGCGCTTGGCTGTTTTCTCTCTCTCTTTCTCTCTCGCCGTTCGTTCTTACATGTAAACAGGATATTCCTATAACGCGAAAATTTCTGCCCTTCTTATACGTATTCTTATTTTCGTTGTGTTTTCTTTTTATTTCGCGAATCTATCGAGACAAAAAAGGCGAGGATAAGTGCTAGAGGCGCGGTTAAGATCCACCGGTGATCGTTCGAGATGATTTCCTGTGTATCGGGCTGAATCCCGTAATCTGATAACAGGATCAGCCGCCGAGTTCTCAGACGATCGGAATTTCGTTGGCTTTATTTAACACGTTCCATGTTGCGCGGATATCGTTCGTCTCTGCGAAAACTTACACGCAGAGAGAGAGAGAAAGGTAGAGAGGAAGAGAGAGGTCATCTCAATCTCTGTCTGGAAATTGTAACAATCATTCCCATCCATTGACTCAGAAATATAAGAAAAATATCCTTGGAGAAAAATATCCCCGAAGTAGGATATCATATATTCTTTCAATATTTGATTATCTGTCTTCGGGCGATATTAAGACTCCAACAAATAGATTCTCATCCTCTTCGCTCGATTAAACATTAAGGAGAGGAGCGGAAAGAGTGGAAGTGAGCCGATCGGGGGAGGTGGGGAAGAGCGCTAGACCCCCAATATTCCTATAACCTATTCCTTTAAAGGTCGGACCGCGGATTGCGATTTATAGCGTGTACCGCGGAACATGGAAACGCATCCGGAATTCGTTAGACTTCCGTGTGTATTTCGCTATTGCGTCGATTAAATAAATTCCCGGCAGCGGGAGCGGCAGCGGAAGGGCGAAAGAGCGCGGCGAAAACATTAAAGAGTTTCCTTCACACTCGGGAGTTTCCGTAACTCGATAGCTTTCTCGCCTTGGCGCACTCCGGTCGGTTCTTCTTTGGCCGACCGGCGCCGAGCTGCACAGGATAAACGGCCAGTGGATGAGACGATAACGTGAAAGTTACTTGGTGATCGTGTAAGGCAATCGTCCGTGTATCGTGCTTAATCCTCTGGCTCTCTGGTAACAGGATCAACATCGAGGGAGAAGAAACTTTTTGGAAGGATCGCGTACACGCGCGCGCGCGCGCGCGCGCCGATTAAATGCATCCGCGTATTTACCGGATCGTCGCGTAGTCGACTCGCCGTCGAATAAATATTCGCCGTTTCAAGCGAGATGATCGCAAATTGGCCGACAAGTCAGGGCGGAAAGTAGCGGAAGAAGATGTCGAACGTGCGTAATTGATTAAACGCGATTTAATGAATTCGCAAACGACAGGCGAATGACGACCTGTTGGAGTGACGCGCTTCGGCGACTTTTTTTTATATTTATTTTATCCCCTCTTCGCCACCCGCCACACTCGTCCGTCGTTTGGCCGATTTGTGCATTTAATTATGCACATTGAAATGCAGGTAGCGTGTATGAATACTGTATTAGAGCCGAGGTCCATTATATAACAATCGAAAATAGCCCGGTACAAACGTGTCGATTTTATATCCTGTAAAATGAGCGCCAATCGATATTCGAAAACCATTTGATGAAATGATTGCCGTCGAGTGGATTAACCGGAAGTTCGGAACAGGCGATGGTAATTACAATAGATCGCTCGCATTTGGATCTCCATTTATGGATGGATAACTCTGTAACGTTCTCAAATTTCTGACAGCTCTCAAGTGGATTACGGTTAGGATACTTTCACAAAAGACAGAAGGGAAAGGCTTGTGTAGTAGTGGGCGTACATGGTGCGTTGTTGCCGGTACTAGCGATCCAATGGAGCGACTTAAGAATTAATGCGTTTGGAATATTATAAATCGATATAAATAATCGGTAGAAAAAAAATAGGAGCAGAGGGAAAATTTAACTTATTATATTTGGATATAACATCGAATAATACCCGTAAAGATGAAGTATTTAT